TCACTCTCACTAGCCTTGCGCATGCTCAGCACAATGACTCCCTCCAGTGCCTCTTTGCCCAGGGATGGGGAATTTGTCATCATGCTCCATGCTAGCTTGGGGCAAAGCAATGCTGTATCTGCCTTTGGGCAGTTCCCTCCCTTGACTCCAAGGTCTGGCCAGTTCTGTCTATATCAGTAATGCCAAGTTAGCGAAACAAAATCCACAGACCCAAGTTTTGCCATAATGACAATGCTGATGGAAAAATTGCGCAATGTCAGAATCCGGGCCTCTTTGAAATGACTGATAGAATTTATCCTAATGTACAAACCCACTAGCAGATGGAATTAGGTAATGCGAACATGATAGTCATTGATTATCTTCCTAAATTAGATTGGCCTCTATTGGTAAAGATCATAACTTTCAACAAAGACTTGTTTTGCTTGCTAAGTAAATTTTGCATGGGTGCTAAGATGGACGTCTTACAGGTGTTTTGAGGGTCCTTCTTCAGACCTTGGTTTATTTTCTTTCACCTCCTGTCATGTTTTTTAAAGTGGGTTGTGCAGCTGTACTGTAGTGTCACACCAGAAACTTTGTATTATTCCAGCCACTTGATTGCCACCCATGAATTTGTTTCCACAGCCAATTTGCTTCCAGCACAGTCCACTGCTTTGTGAGTTTCCCACATTGTCGTTTGCGACTTTAAAATCTCCGGAGCCCTATTTAGCTTTCTTATTAAAAATGATCGAGGAAGTAAGTTTCTCTTTTTTTCTCATCTGATCATTATTTTTCTTGTTTCCTTGGTATGGTTAGAAGTCTCTGACTGTTATAAAGACTATCTGAACTGCAACCTTCTATCAGCTTTAATATATTATTAAAATCAGTGGTTGATTTGGAGATGAGGTAGTTCTAGATCTTTTTTACTTATTATTTTAAATAAAGTAAGAAATGCATGTGAATAAAAGCTTACAGATATATCTAAACTTATTACTTACAAATAAATAACCTCAACATTTCAGGAAGATAAATGTATCTTAGAAGATATATTTTCACCTCATCTGTAAATTAGGATAAAAAGGCAAAGGCTTTTAACTGACATTTTGTTTTCAGTTTTTTTCTGTTTTGTTTCTTCCCTTTTTCTTTTTTTGGTGGGAAGTCCTAACTTGGAATCCAGATAACCTAAAGCTGAATCCACACTCTACACTTAGGAGTGAGGGACCTTGGTCAAGATAAGTTTTCTGAGTCTCATCATTCTCACCAATAGAATGGAGACAGGGATGCTTATAAGGAGGAACTGATTTCAGATTAGATGTTATATACAAGAAGTGGTCCAATATGCATAGGTACTCAATGTGTGGTATCCTATTACTATTATTTTATACTCCAGTATGCATAGGTACTCAATGTGTGGTATCCTATTATTATTATTGTTCATTTGAATTAGTGTTCTTTATATTTTTTGATCCTCACCCTTGCCTTAGAATCTTTTTGAACATACACAAGTAAGTAAAAAGATAATATATCAGTTCCTGTGAAGTTACATTTTATGTTCAATATAATACAATACCTTTTAAAATAACGAAGTTGAAATAAATATTTTTTCTACAATATTAATAGAAATTACTTATTTTACTGTGACTTTTTAGTGATTTCAGTGTAATTAAATGCACATTATTTTATATAATCTTGGATTAGTGATTTGAATATCTGCCTATTTTTGTTCATTTTGATCTTTATTGGCCATCAGAGTTAACATTAAAAAATATTAAAGTACACTTATCACACTAAATAAAAGTACATTGTTGAGTCTACCTAAGAATCATGTTAATTTTTTTGTTTCATTGACCAGTATTGCAACGGTTTTGATAAATTGTGCCTTGTAAATTTCTGTCATCTCTGATGTGAATCAGTTCGAATTGCAAAATAATTGAACAGTGGCCCATTTAACTATTAAAAATCAAGTCCAAACACACTGGAACTCTACATTTATAAGATGATTATAAAGAGTAAAAATTGTATTTTCAAGTTACGAAAGTATATAGATATACAAATTCTTATAAAATTGTGTATGTACATATCAATTTTGGCAATAAACTGCATAATGATTGGACTATATAATTCCAAGCATTTGTTTCCAAAACGCTCTTCATTAGCACAAGTTTTGATATAATTACTTGTTCACTCATTATAAATGAACCAACTAAGATCTGAATTCTCATTCACTGCTAGTGGAAATGTCAATTAGTATAAGGTCTGGAGAAAATTGTTTGAAAATATCTACTTAAGTTAAACATATATAAATGAAAGGATATACTAAAGCTAATGATATGACTGAAAATTTCTGCCTTGGGGTAAATGCCCAACATAAATTAGCCCTTACAAGTAACACATTGATAAAAATGTTCGTAACAGCTTTGTTCACAATAGCCAAACACTGGAACCAACCCAAAAGACAACAGGAGAATATTCATCTTCATTATAGTGTAGTGTTACATTTTTATAAACACAGCACAATTTTTATTCAAAATGTTTTTTGAGTAAACAACTTGAATGAATCCCACAGATAGGCCAAGCAAAAGGAGCCAGATTACATAGTCAGTCTGTATATGTTACAGAATATCGTGGAGATTCTCCTATTCAAAGATCTTTTAAAAATTAAGCATCCCCTCTTTTCTTTAATTACAGTTTACATTCAACATTATTTTGTGTTGGTGTAGCCACACCATCTTCTAGTTGCTGGCACAGTAAACAGTGCGAACACCCACAAGCCCTGGAGCACCTAGTCTTCCTTCCGAATAAATAGCTGTTGTGCCAAAAACGGCACGTGCGGCCTGCCGCAGGGTGCAGAGTCAATAAGAGTGAATGAAGGTACCTCTCACTATTAGAGTAAGTGAACTGTGGCTTAAATGCTTTCTTTCCCCACCTCAGAGATCTTCTGGTGCCTCTACAGCCACCCTTGACCGTGCAGACGAGCTGAGTGGCAGCTGCCTGCTGTGATAGTTAGTGGGATATTTGCAGACTATTTGCTCAGTAAATCCTCAAAGGAAAGACATGGGCAGTGGTGATTTAGAGCAGGAGTTGGCAACTTTTTTCTATAAAGGTCCAGTTAATAAACATTTTAGGCTTCGAGAGCAGTAAGATCTCTGTCACAAGTATTCACCTCTATAAGTCTGTAGTGTGGAGGCATCCTTGATGATGTATGTTTTTTAAGTGGCTCTATTTCAATAAAACTTCATGGACACTGAATTCCATGCAATTTTCACGTCATGAAATAGTCTGCTTTTGATTTTTTTCAACCTTTTAAAACATAAAAATACCATTCTTATCTCATAGACCGTGAGAGTGGAGGCAACAAGATAAATGGTTCTCAGAACTTGGTTGGTAGACCCCTGGCTTTAAGTCATGTGATTCTCAGCGTTAACGAACTTGTGGGGAACCTCAGCCTGGAGTTCCATGGCAGTGACAGCGCCATTTCTGGTCGGTTGTCAGATTACAGCATGTTGTTAACGGGAGCTTTCATGTTTTGGTTCCTTCAAGAAACACTAAATACCATATTTAATGCCAAAGGCTTTGTTCCATCTCTGACATGATTTTAATTGGTGGAAGTTCAAATAAAAGAAGTTGGGTTTTCAAAAGATTCCACTGAGATATTTGAGGTCAGATCATTAGTAGCTATAGTGTCAAGAAGAATCACCATGCTTTTCTGCATGGTCTCAGTTCTGATTTGATAAACAATTTTTTTTTAAATAACCTGTATTTTGGAAGCCTGAAAGCAATGAAATACCTAAGGCACTGGACTATACGCTTGTTTGAGGCCCACTGGCTAAATTCTGGACTCTTTCCTGGGTTTCTCTGGGTCCTGACATGTGATAGAGCATGTGTTCTCTGACATTCTAGAAGGTCAGAGGGATGAATAACTGCTCCTAACAACATAGCATTTTAAGGGCAGCCTTCCAAGTTGGTTCCCCTCAATTTTCCATGCTGTTTACCAAGAGATGTGAATGGCAACTCTTTAACCTGATTATCGAACTCTCGTTCTTCTATCCAAAATTAGTTTTCTGTGATCAGCTGTATGTACAATTTCAAAATTGCTATTTACATTCAGACAAAAAATAATGTAAAAAGGTAAACCTTCAGAATGACTCTATTCTGATTTGTGCCTGCCACCCATCCAGCCTTAAATGAAGGGATCCCTCAACCTCAGCAGCACCGAGGATGAGAGGGCAGCAGTTTCCTATGAAACGGAAATCTGTGCTGTGCCTATTTTGCCGTGAGTCCACTCCAACGAATGTCTCCTGGATATCTGCGTTCCATCCCAGAATCGGCAATTTGCAACTATCCTAGTCCTCTCCCTTAATTTAGGGTGGGTATGGGATAGAGTTAGGAGACCTGAAACAAGGTAAGTACACAGTAACCAGGAGAAGGAATCTAAGAGGAAAACCAGATTGAAGCTCTGCTGCTCTTTATAGATGGAAATGGGCACCTAGCACCTGCTGGGTGTTGGAAACTTTCTGTAAACTTTCAGTTCCTGAAATAAAGAAGAGATGATGCACAACAGGGAAGAAAGCCTCTGAAGCAACTGCTTCAGAGCCATTAAGGAGACAGCATTTTTTTAAAATTGGGTTTTGTTTCACATGTTTTGTAAGAGATAAAGTTGACTTTGTTGGACTTTGGGTTCCATGACAACAGCAAACTGCACGTGTGCTCAGCGTGTGGTGTGTGTTCTTCAAGCCGTGCGGTAGTCTGCTGCCAACCCAAAATAGCATGCAGCATATCGGTTGTGTCTCTGGAAATCAGGGCGTCACTTCTGTTTTCCAGGAGGCGAAGATGTCACAGTGGCTTCTAAGCAACACACTGAGACCCCGGATGGAGGGGAGAGAACCACTCTTTAACTATGGTTCTTAGGGAACTTCTGAACATCTGTTGGAATGTGGTCAATTATTAGGCAACTTCAGTGATTATCAGAAAAGACATGTCTCTCACTCAGCCTCCTGACCCTGTTCTCTTTCCCTGTCATTCAGGAGGAAGGACGCTGGCTACTTATCCTACAAAGATCACCTGCCGGTGAGCCAGGTGGTGGTTGGGGATACCGACCGGCAAGGCTCGGAGGCGAAGCTGAGCGTGGGCCCCCTGCGCTGCCAAGGAGACAGTAAGTTGACCCAGCAGCTGTTGCTTTTGTTTCCTTAGTGTTGCCCAACGATCAGAAGGTGGCAGAAACCGGACTGCTCTTCCCTAACTCCTAACAAAACATCCAGCAATGCAAACAGCCCAACGGACAGCTAGACAGACCTTAGCATGTAGAGAGAAACAACAACCATAAAGTCTTCTGTTCAAGGAGCCTGGATTTGGTACAAAATGTGGATATCCGTCTTCCTTGTACATTCCTATGTAACAACTGTGACTACCTAAGTTTATGGTGATATATAAATAGCAATGCTAATAGCATAAAAGCAGCCTCAACAGCTGTGATTCCACTGAGTGCTGCTATTAATGCCATTAGCGTGACTATTTATATTGCCATAAACTGGGTTTATGGTGATTTAAATAGTACCATTATGGTTTAATGTATCACTGTAAACTGGGATGACGGTCATATAAAGCTTCACATTATTGCTATCAAATTTCATCATCATCAGAGTTTGATAGTTCCTTGTAAGCCAAAGATTGTTTCGGTACCTGTGTCTTGCTTTCCAAGTTCGGCACCACAGAGAGTAATCGGGGGCTGCTGGCAGGGACTGTGGGAGCCGGGAGGTAGAGTGATGATCCCACCTAATCAAGGCTCCATTAGGCTTTTATGCTGCCTGAGACCCCTCAGTGTGCCTCATGTGCCGCTGGAGGGAAATGAAGACAGGTCGCTGTGGGGATTCGGCAGTGAGCAGCCTGGGTGTCGTTACCCGCTTCTTGTCTGTGCATGTGCGTTGAGCACCTCCCCTGGGAGTGCTCTGCATTGGCAAGTGTGTGCTGGGCGTCGGGGACCCAGATTCTGTTCCCTGAGTACCCGCCTTGCCAGGAGACCTCAGGCAAACCCTCTGTTTGCTGGGCTGTGGTAATGAGAAGCCCACCTGCGCCCCGGCCCCGCCTGGGGAGGCCATAACGATTTCAGTGCCTGCGTCTGGTCCCACCTCGCAAAGCGTCCGGTGAGAGGGACTGTCAGCGCCGCTTCCGTCAGCAGGAGAGAAGCAGAACTGCCCGGTGCAGCAAACTGCTGTGTCCTCTCAGAGAGGCGTCCTGAGGGTGTGCTGATTCCTGTGAGCTGTTTCTTGTTGAGTAAACCGAGGCTGTTGGCCGTTAAAAACAAGCAGGTTCTAGATACAAACAAGAGCTGGAGTTGGTACTGATTTTTCTCTTCTTAACGTGGAAAAAATGAAAATGCTACCTTTAAAATGGAGACCGATCCAAAGAGTTTTATCATGCATTTATTATGCAGTAATACTTCATTTGCCTAGTCAGGCTTAGTAGAACTGTGCAGTAAGATATTTAGTTTCAACCGTTTAAGAAAAAATACTGATGAAATAGTAAGTTTGCATTTTTAAACAGAAATTTTGAGAGATGAACTGTAGTTTCATTCTCAAAATAGGCAAATTCCCATGTGTTGTCTAATAGAAATCACTTTCTTTATGTAATAATTATTAATAAATACATACAGGTAAAGTATTTCACACTTAGTTCTAATTCCAAAGTTAGCTTTGAATTAGAGAAAGGGTTCTCATTAAATAATTGCTTGACTCAGTATAGTTATAAAAATCCTACTTCTGTAGACCTTTGTTACCATTCTTAAAGAAAATATTAAATAGTATATGTGGCAGTATATTAACAGTTTATTAGCTTGTTTTCTCTTAATCAATTAAATCAGCACTCAGGAAGAATTTATTATGAATCTGTTCTTTTTCCAGCACTTTACTAGACACTCTGGGAATAAGAAAAAGACGTTCACTGTATCTATAAGCCTGTTTCTCTTTTGTTTAGTCATTTACATTGGTCTTTAGATTCCACATACGAGTGAAATCATATGGTATTTGTCGTTCTCTGACTGACTTATTTCCCTTCGCATAATACCTTCGAGGTCCATGTATGTTGTTAGGGAACGGGGGCCGAGGGACTGGGTGGGAAAGGGGAAGGGTGTAAGAAGTACAGAGCGGTAGTTACAGAACAGTCACGGGGCTGTGCAGCACAGCAGAGGGAACAGAGTCTGTAAGACTCTAATAACTATGGGTGGTCCCTGTTGGCTGCTGGAAATACCAGGGGGACCACTTTGTGAAGTAGATGATTGTCTAACCACTGTGCTGTACACATGAAAAAAATTGGAAAACACAAAATGTTTTATGATTTAATATTAGATTTTGCAATATAATATTATTGCAACTGGTACTCAAGAAGGGAGAGATAAACAGTATATTCGAGGCAGGCTTTATATTTAGGAAGAGAATATAGGGACAGTATGATGGTCGGTACATTTGCGCTCCTTTCCCAGGGCTTGGTTCTTAGAGGCACTTTGAGGACACTTGATAAGACAAAGAGCTGCTCTCTGATTCCCTGACACCACATGGTTTCAGTGTTCTTCTAGTGCTTAGCGCCAGAGACTCCTAATCTATATTTTACCTGATACTTCATGAAAGCAAAAGCGCAGCCAACCTTTAATTGCAGTTAGTAGAATCCTTTTGCATCTGAGAGAGAGAGAGAGAGAGAGAGAGAGAGAGACTTCCTTTTCTGCAGTCACTTGAGAGTATTACACTTGGTACCCGAATTGCCAGGGAGTGGTCGGCAGTTCCACGCCCACCTTCACTCGAAGGGTAGTGTAACAGTAGTAAGTGTTCGACATCATAGCCAGTATTCACATATGTATCATTTCCTTGGATACAGAGCCTCTCGCCACCCCATGAGATGGTTAAGGTAAATATTAGCCTCTCTGTTTTACAAATGAACAAAATGTTCCTTTTAAAATGTCGTTTACATAACAAATTTCTGTGCACCCATGGAGCCTCTGGGACACTCCAGGAGGAAGGGCGGAGCAGAGAACAGAAACGGCTCTCTCCACACGAGGTCGGGGTTGTTTTTTCGACTCTACTCTCTTCTATGAGTCAATTGCTGATCAAATTGGTTTAAAAATATGTCACTTGGGTCCTAGGCCACTACTCCCACCACCCACTCACACCCCATTATCAATACAGCATGAATGTTGCAGGGCTTAAAATCCAATTTTTGTAATTTAGAAAGTGCTGTAGTACATTTATCCTGTTGTTTATTGAGATTAACTTACTGTCATTTACTGAAGTCTGTGCAAAGCCACAGTTTAAAAAAAAAACAAAAAACCATTGTTGAAAAACGTCTTTCTCTATTTGAGGAGCTGAGTGATGACAGCCGCCGGAAGCTGTCTCTCGAATTAGGTCCTGGCTCTGTCCCCTGGTCTTAGAGAATGAAACCATTTTTGTGGGCTCCGACCAAGCGTTTCGGTGGCTGCGGTTGATTTCATCATGCCTGCTGAGTTTCATTTTTACTGTGATTCATCTGAACTCATAGACCCATAAAATCAAAATGCTGAAGAAAATCGGTGAGTCTCGCTCAGGTCTGCTGCCTTTCCCACAAAGCTCTGTAAAATGCTTTGCTTTTTTTTTTTTGTCCCCAAATACTTTCAGATGGAAACCTCCATTCTAAGTGAAGCTGAAAGTATGCCTGATGATGGACAGTTAAGTATGATAAAAAATGCAGTAAAATTACCAATCCCGCTTAAACCACGTATCCACGCCTAGGAAGAAACAAAGAGTTACTTAGAGGATCTTAACCACTGACGGAGTAGAAATTGTTTTCAAATTTAGAAATATATTCATTTTTGGACGGAGTGGCCCAACTTCTATTGAATTAGTTCAGAAAAGACATATTGGGGTTTTGGAGGTAGAAGTCTTATTCATACTATATACGGCAAACATAACTAATTCTAGAAATAACGTATTTGCTAGCTAACTGCTCTGTTCTCAGGCATATGGGGTAAAGATTTCTGGTGTTTCCCCTAGGGAGATAAGGACTTGAAACAATTAATTAGGAGCAAGTTTGCTACAAAAGCGAGTGTTTCCAGGGCACCTGGGTAGAAGGAGTTCAGGCAAATGTGCTCCTCGAGGGCTTCCGCGCCGGGCCAGCGGCCGCCCCGGCTGTCAGCAGCCACGGAGTGCCATGTCCTGCCGGAGCCCTCCGTGCGCGCTCAGCCTCTCAGAGCTGCAGGGCGATGCGGAGAGGAGGCCCAGGAGAGCCCGTAAGGCAGGAGACGCACCCCGTTCAGGCACCCTTGGCAGAGACAAAGCGAGGGCGAGAGAAATGAAGACAGACGGCGTTTCAACCAAGTGATGGTGGGCGCTGTTCTCTAGGAGTGTGATCTCAGGGGCCCGGGCAGTGGCACGGCCACGCTGTCTTCACTGCGGGCGTCTACAGACCTGGGCCGCAGCCAGCCCTTCCTCTACCGAGAAAGGCAGGCGACGCCTGTGTCTCCCCGGCCTATCTCCACAGAGAAGACCTTTCCAGACGGGGCACAAAAGAGCCTCGCTCTCCGGAGGTTGCACCCAGGGGCGCACACAGGACAGACCGTCTCCCCGGGAGCACCTGTGTGAGGACCGGACAAGGATGGAGGGGCCGCGCCCACCTGGGCTGGGAAGTGATGCCAACTGTGGAGAAGAAGCCATGCCTTGGGCCCCAGAGAAGGGCAGAGAACTCTCATTTCCTTGTCTTTGCTCGTCAGGATTGGACAACACGAGAAAGAGAGCAGGCCCTACATGTCAGGTGCCTGCACGAGGTGACGCCGTTGGCTGGAGTGTGCCAGTGTGACGGAGGCCGCTTTGCCCATCAGTTCAGAGCCGGGGCTACGAGGTCTGCGTGGTTCCGCAGCCAGTCCCGGGCCAGGTGAAATTTCACCACTTCCAGGGATGGTTTCTCGTCCTTCCTCATTCCTTCCTGCAAAATGTGGCCATGTCTCCTTGCCTCAGGCAGGGCTAAAAGCAGGAGCAGCGCATCACAGCATCCTCACTGTGCAAGAGTCTTTGAGATCCCGCTGTGCAGGCCTCCCTCTCACAGATGGGAACCTGGGCCCGCGGAGGTTAGGTGACCAGCCCCGGGACCCCCAGACGGTGTAGGGCAGAGCCCCTGCAGAGAGAGGTTGGCGAGCCT